ATATTATAAGCATAACATTTTGACTTAATAGTTGATAAAAAATGATGTGTAAGTGTTATGAGTAGTTCTTGATTTTAATGTATTAGTATTTTATTATTTTATTTACACAAGACTATGCTTCAACCACTCGGTTTGTTCAATCAGATTAACCGATTTATTGTATTTGTTCTTCCGGGTATAGTATCTCATATCATGTGGTCTCCGCCACTCTCGATCTAATTGTCGATTTGTCGTTGATTTTTATTGATGCATTTCCACATTTTGATTTTGGACATGTCTTTCTGCTTCACCTTCAATTATGCTACACCATAATTTTTCAACTAGTCCGCTTCTTTTCTGCATTTTTCGGTCTCCCTCTTGGTCTTTATTTTAAATTTTGAAGTTAGACACATCAATCAAAACGCCAGGCTGACATCACCCATCTGTAAACTGTGCTGCCTCATACGATGCACCCATTAAATATTTTCTTAAAGCCAGCCGTTGGATTAGCCTTTCTTCCAACAGTTTAAAATTGTTGTCCCTTCACTTTGCCCAATAAACCTCAGTCATTAATGCTCACCTCTATCCAAAGGCTCCCAACGGCTTGTCCTTTCAACTTCGCACTTTTTTGATCTCCGCTCTTGATTCTGATCTCCATTCAATGGTCCAGCTTGGACCGACCTTCCCACTTACAGAATCCCATCTGTTGATGCAGATCGCTATCTAACGGTTGGGATCAATCGAGTTTCTCCCTCTTTCTCCTATAAATACCCTTATGCCTGCCTTTTTCCAACTTTTTACCTTTGCAAATTTGTGCTCTAGCTTATAAACTCTTCCTCTCTTGGCGATCAAGCTTTCTGCATCCCAAATTTCTCTAGTTCTTCTGGCAACCGCTTTGTTCGTCGACAATGAGTATGTCTCACCCCTTTTGATCCTTGTATGTTTTAATTTTTTGTTTTTCGTATTGATTTTCGCCCCATGTCCGCGGACGACGATCTTTTTGGTCATTTTTTTTTACCCCAAAATCCTTTGATTTATTCCTTTTTTCAGATTCAAGTACCTCCAATGAGGTCGATTGCTACTCCGGCAAAGACATGACTCCTCCATCCTCCTCTTCAACCTCTCGACTTGCTTACACAACGTTGTTCTGGTTCAATCCCCCTTGCAGTCATCTAGCCAAGCCTCTCCATCTCCACGCCCCCGTCGACCTCTCCATCTAATCGGTGAGTCCGAGGAGGAAGACGACGCGATCCTTCAACTTGAGCCCGTATCTTTTGTTTCTCTTCTTTCGACCTTCATGCTTACTTCTAGGTTGGGCCCGCTCTCTAATCGCCAAGTCTCTCCGACTGCTTCTCTTCTGCAAGTCGATCCGTCTCACACTCCTCTCGGTAATGGATGGATTGACGAATACCTTTAATGTTGGACAGCCTACCCGTTGGGGCATTATATACCCACGACCCCATGACACCTACGACCACTCTTTTGAAGGGTATTATACCTTTTTTCAAAGACAAATAAAATTAGGTCTTTGTTTTCCCATTTTCTCGACCTTCCACGACCTATGTGGAATTTTCTGCCTACCTCTCAACCAGCTTCCTCCCAACACCATCCGTAACTTGACCACCTTTATCATTCTTTCATTCATTCGTCTTGGTCAAATTGACCTCAAATTTTTATTACATTCTTTTATCGCCAAGGGCCAAAGGAATAACTCTACCTCCAAAGCCGAAATAAAGCTCATTTTCTGTCTGATATCATTTACAATGTCCCAAAATAAAAGCGGAGATTTGTTTATATTCAACCTGAACCCCTTTCCCTTGGAATTCGACCCCTCTCTTGAGATTGTTCCTTTGACACCAAAATCCTCCTCGTAACCCCTTGTTCAACCAACGCAAGTCATAGAATACAAACAAATTACTTTCAAAACTTACCTCAAGAGCAAGAAGATTTTATTCTACTACGGCCTACTCACGCTTTGATCACAGTCTCCGCCTTTAGATAGAGCAAAAGCTTAGAGACCTCTAGAATCGTGCTTAGGACGAGCCTGGTATGCTTGACCTATGAACCTCATAATACTTTTATTGTTTATTGTAACTAACTATTTACCTGGCATTTTGCAAAGATTCATGAACAAGACAACCTCCTTCGCCAGCAAAGGAGCTACCCCTACTGGCAAAGGGGTTGCTTTCCCCAAGAAAACGGCTCCTCAAAAAGGCCATGATAAAGAGGCCAATAAATCCTACACTCAGAACAGATAATCCAAACCCATTTCTCCTCTCAAATCACCAGCCAATAGACCCATAAACAGGGCGACCAGTTTAGGAAATAGTGTGTTGACCACAATTTCATGCTAGAAATGGACCAACCCTGTGTCGATCGACTCCAGCAATAGAAGGACCCATACCAAGGCCCGAGATAAGGAGGTCTTTCTACCCCGTTCACTTATCGCTGCAAGGGGTAAGGAGGTTACCTCCTACTTCATGTAAACCCTGCCCATAGGGCCCACCGATGGAGTGTCAACTAGAAGACGAAGTGTGAATGTACCGCACGAGCGCTGACTGAGGTAAGCCCCTATTTTCTATTCTTTACATTCTCGACCTGGAATGGTTTCTTCATTTTGGATTAGTTCCTTTTCATTTTTCCTGCAGACTCTTGCCTCTGTGATGCCCTGCTCGAGGAGACCTCGGATAGATGCGGTCGACCTGTCCCCGAGGTCGACAAATAGATCTGGTTGCTACAGGAAGAGGCTCGACAACTAACCAATGTATGGTACGAGTTGGCCCAACAGCAAAAGAAGGACGACCTTCGGCATAAGGACAAGCTTAAGGCGAAGGAGCGGGAGCTCTAGCAGGAGGCTACTCGACGCAAATAGTAAGTCAATGCGGAGAAGGCTCGACAAATGATATGGTCGACTCACGTTGGCCAGAAGTTTCTGAAGGAATACCGTGAGCAGGTGCTCGACAACTATCACAAGTCCACGACATTCCTGAAGAAAACCTTGAGCGTGGCTATGGACTACTACACCGTCAGTATTGACGAGGCCCCCTCAAACGCGATGTCATTTGGGAAGCTCTACCAAACATCTCAGTTGACTTCGAGGGCGATGCTACCCTTTCACTCGAGCACACTTGGTGGTCGGGAGATTTTGGAGTGGACACTTGCCCGATCATTTTTTTATGTTTTTTTTATATTGTATTTTTAAGTGTTTTATTTGTGTTCATGTTATTTTATTACAGGTTCTTTTCAGTCTGTTTAGTCGTTTTTTCTCGTTTTTGTGTTTTCATTTTGATTTGGTGTCATGTGCCCTTTATTTCTCGTTTTGTCTTTTATTTTGTAGGAATTTGCATTCCGGAGAATCACCGGGAAATTTGCCAGAAATTCGCCCGATGGACCTGAGCCACTGTCGAGCACTTGCAGCGGGGTCATGTCCCCGAGCCCACGAGTCCACAATGACCGCACACTTGCAGCGAGCCTAGACTTGCGACCAGCGACCGCAAGAGACCTGTGCACAACATCCGCGCTCGCGCGCGAGACTAGGTCTACATGCTCGCGAGTGCTCAGCATGCTAGCGAGTGCCCGCACTCGCTCGCGAGACTAAGTCCGCGTGCTAGCGAGTGTCCAACCGCACTGACCCGCACTCGTCAGCCAACGTCAACCCGCGGTGCTGCAAGTCTCCGAGCTGTGAACGACAATCTCTCTCTATTTCTTCCCCAAGAAGATTGGCAATCTCTCCTGCATGTGAACGTCGAACCGATAAAGCTAATGAAGCCAGAGTCCAAGTTGTCTCATCTTCAAAAGAAGAGTCCGTACATAAACACACGTTGCGCCACTCTACACTCTTATGTGGCACAGAGCATTTCCTCACTTTTTTTTTTGTATAAATTCAACCGCTTTGAGCCGGGAAAAACAACGAGCAGCATCCTCATCTTTCTCATTAACATAGCAACAAAATCATAAACACTCGTTGTCGATCTTCTCAGCAGATCAACAATATTGGTGTCTCATTTATTTATCGCATATTTATTTCCCTATTTTGTATTATTTCATTTATATTATATCCGATTTCTTGCTTTCAATCTCATCATGAAAAAAAAAACTTTGTAACCCCCGATTTAAGCACCCACATAATATCAACTGTAACTGTTGACGACTGAACGTGAACATGCCTGATGAGTGTGCCTTTTTGTATAGGTCAACAAAATAAAACGCTACAAGAAAATGATGAAATTCCAACGGAAATCTTTTCCAAAAGAATTATTCCAACGACAATTCCAACGGATATTTCATACTATTATTTCCGTTGAAATTTTTCAATGGATTCCAACAAAAATTCCAACAAAAATATTCTGTTGGAATTGGTTTTCCATTAGAATTTCCGTTGGATTTTGACGATTCTAACGGTGGATTTTCCAAAGGAGGTGGAAATAAAAATTCTAACGGAATTTGTATATTCCAACGGAAATTCCTACGGTAAAAAGCCGTTGGAAATATAGCTGTTGGAATCATCAAATTCCATCTAAAATTCCAATGAAAAACACATTCCAACAGAATATTTCCGTTGGAATTTCCGTTGGAACCATTCCAACAGAAGCTATACAATTAGAATATTCGTTGGAATTTCCATTGGAATATATTGTCATAGGATTTTCCGTTGGAATATAACAATTATTTTTTGTAGTGAAATTCTCCAAAGATATGTTATTGTCCAAACTTCTTAACTGCCAATTTTCTCAAAATAATAATATTATGTGTTCTTTTTTTTTTTTTTTTTC